TTTTATTGTAAGTTTTTTCAGTGTTCCAAGATTCATTGTTTATGCACCATACCCAGTGCTCCATGCAATATGTGCCCTCCTTAATACCCACCACCAGGCTCACCCCACCCCACACCCCTCCCTTCCAAAACTCTCTGTTTGTTTCTCAGAGTCCACAGTCTCTCATGGTTTGTTTCCCCCCTCCAATTTCCCCCGACTCACTTCTCCTCTCCATCTCTCAATGTCCTCTGCATTATTCCTTATGCTCCACAAGTAAGTGAAACCATATGACAATTGCTACTTTTCTTATTACGAAGAACCAACAATGCTCTTTTTTCTTATTTCTTTTCAGCGTAACAGTATTCATTGTTTTTGCACCACACCCAGTGCTCCATGCAATACGTGCCCTCCTTAATACCCACCACCTTGTTCCCCAAACCTCCCACCCCCCCGCCCCTTCAAGACCCTCAGGTTGTTTTTCAGAGTCCATAGTCTCTCATGGTTCACCTCCCCTTCCAATTTCCCTCAACTCCCTTCTCCTCTCCATCTCCGTATGTCCTCCATGTTATTTGTTATGCTCCACAAATAAGTGAAACCATATGATAATTGACTCTCTCTGCTTGACTTATTTCACTCAGCATATTCTCTTCCTGTCCCGTCCATGTTGCTACGAAAGTTGGGTATTCATCCTTTCTGATAGAGGCATAATACTCCATAGTGTATATGGACCACATCTTCCTTATCCATTCGTCCGTTGAAGGGCATCTTGGTTCTTTCCACAGTTTGGCGACCGTGGCCATTGCTGCTATAAACATTGGGGTACAGATGGCCCTTCTTTTCACTACATCTGTATCTTTGGGGTAAATACCCAGTAGTCCAACAACGCTCTTAGGAACAGCCTATGCATATAGTCTCTTTCTCTCACTTTCTGTCTCTTTCTTACTCTCTCTCTCTCTATTTTTTTTTCTGTTTGTCACTCTACTTTGAGTATAGTTTCCTAAAAGTAGAATTTCAGGTTCAAAGAGTAAATTCATATGTCATTTTACTAAATTCTCACTAGCGATTTCATCATCTTTCAGTTCCTCCAGCCATGCATGAGTTCCCTGTTACACCACAATCTCACCAGTGGAATATTTGCCACACTCAAAATATTTGTTATATACATTTTTTTTATTAAGTGTGTGATTGATTTTTTTCATATGGAAAATTTAATTTTAGTGAATGAGTGAGGGTATTTTCACCATAAGAGTAATAAATAGGATTAGGGCTAGATCATGAATTCCTTAAGTATCAACCTTATTATCTTGAGAAAGCCTTCATAGATTTCTCATTGATGGAAATATGTAATGGTCTGGAGAAAGAGGATGACATGATTACAAAACAGAGCACATTTTAGATGTTGACTTTTATTTATTATTTGAACTTATTTTTAAATATCAGAAATAGCATGTATTTACTCTAGAAAACTGTAGGATATACAAGTGATGTTGATGAAACTAGTCTGCTTCCTAGCCAGAATCAGCTTGGAATTACATCCGAAAAGAATTCAATTTTCTTAGTTTTTTTTTTTTTTTAACAGTTTAATGTATTTTAATAGCAAACTTACAGGAACAGCACAGGAGACAGACACCATTAAAAACATGTACTTGCATGTAGGACAAGTCAGTTAGAAAAGTATACTGAATGGTTGGAATCTACTGCATGATAAAAATGTCTCAAACACCATTTAGTTGCTGCCCATAACAAATTACTTGTTTTAAAAAAAATCCCAATGCTGGCATTGTCGAGAAAAGTTTAACAGGTTTATTTATAATTGTTATAAAGTTGAACTGCTGAAATGTATTCACTGAAACATTTTGACTTGCATTAACTCTGTATGTTCCCACATTTATATTAAAAATTCACACACAAATGAAAATGGAAAAACTGCCAATACCTGATCTGTCCACTATATTTCCTCTTGCAATCATATACTTAGGTAGCTTTTGACCCCATGGGGGAAAAAAAAATCCAATGTTCAGAACTACCAGTAAGAGGAAGAAGAGGAAAAAAAATTTTTTTTAAGAATGAAATGTTTCCATCATAGTGGATTCTTAAGCATGTTCTCCAGTAAAGAACTGAAAAAGTAATATTAATTTTATGAATGTTTTCCAGAATATATATTTTGATTGCACTTCATTTATTGATGAATCTGAGAGGAGTAATACATTTAGAAATTTGAAATTTCTGTCCAAGAATAAGTTGTATTACATCTTTTTATTTAAGCCATCTTGTTTCTTTTACTACAGTTTTAAATCTTTATCATTTCATAATCACTATTAATTTTTTCATGTGAGTGTTATATATTTGTTGTTATGTTGGTCAATGCCTTTTCTCTTATTAGAACAATTTGCTATTCTGACAGCTTTTTATTTATATATAATAAAGAATATGTCTTGGACATTTGTCATGAGAGTGGCCAATTTGATAATTTTATGTCATAACTTTCAGCTTTTCTTTCAACACCACATTTTCTATGAATCCACAATTAATATTTGATCATTTATAATCAGTTGTGACTACTCTTTTAATTTTTCTCTCTTTCACTTACTAGACTTCCAGGGCAATGTTAGATAATAATGGTGATAAACTCATTTTGATGATTACAAAATACGTAGAATCACTATCTTGTTTCATATTGGTGACAATTTTAAATATATGATCATTAGCATATTAAGGAAATAGTCCATCATTCCAATTCACTTAGAATTTTTTCCTTTTCCTCTTCTTCCACCACCTTTTCTTGCCTTTTCTTAAATCAGAAGTAGTTATTTAAGTATATCAATTTTTTCCTTATCCATGAAGATACCAGATATAATTATTCAGAAAGACACACTTAGGAAATGAATAGGTGCTAGTACAATAAGACAGGGACATGAAGTATGATTATGTAGTAAATGTTAGAAGTCCTCAGTGTCATGAGTTGTTTGCCTAAGTTCCCAGGAACATGAATTTCTGAAATTTATATGAAGTTTGCAGTAGCACAAAGAATGAATACTAGTAAAAGGAAGACTGAAGAGAAATCAGTTTTTAAATAAGCACTGAAGCATTTTTAACTGACTTGCATAATATCTGAGTTAAAAGTAAATAAGAAATTATTTTTTTATTAATATCTTATAGGTGTATACTGAGCAGCTTGTGGGAAAATACAAAGTCATTACTTCTATATCTGGTATTCCATACAAACATTATAGTGAGATTAAGGTAGATGTTAATTGAATTTAAAAATTGCTATAATATACAGGAGTCAATGGAGGTATTCAAATTATGCAGTAACAAACTGTATTAGAAACACAGATAGTTCTTGCTTTACATGGTTCCCATATACAGATTTCAGTGGTCATGGTTCATTCAAATAACACTAGTTCCCTAACAACACAGTTCAGTTTTCATTTATTACAATATATGGTGAGTAATTACATAAAGTACAACACCCTGCTACATAAGTAATAGATGCTCATTATGATAAATGACCACTCTTGTCACTTCCTTCAAGGTCTGTCCATGATTGGTCACCGAGAATCTCATTTCATTTACATATTGATAGAAAAGCATACAGTTGTTTTCCCTCTTTGCTTCTCAGTTGTAGAGATACTTTAGGAAGATTATTTTTTCAAAACACTTCTACTGTTACATAATACTCTAGATCAACCTGATTTATATAAGATCTTGGGAAAAAATGAAAATTTGCTTTCTATCAGCAATACAGCTTCATTAATCTAAAGAGTTGTTTAAGCTTTTAAAACCTTGCAGACTATTGACCCTGTAACTGGAGCTCATGCAATTTCTTTAGCCGAGTTTTAGAAGAAATAGTATAAAAAGCATGCAGCTGAAAATATTCAAACATCTTGTCAGAAGGTAACAGAATATCTTTATAATAGACAAGATCTTTTTCCACACCATGTGAATGACTTTGCAGAATGTGAGTTAAATGAAAAACAGAGTTAAGGACAAGACAACTGTCAATGATACTTCAATAACAAAAAAAAATTTTTAAATAATGGGTAATAATAAGAAAGAAGAAATAGCTGACCGTGAGAATATTGATACTGCCATCATTTCAGAGTCTCGGAGGACTCTGAAATTCCTGAAGAATGGAAGAGCTTGCTGAAGATAATTTCTTGGCAAAAATGAAGAAGGGAGATATGCTAGAGGAGGTGAAGCTGCCTACAGGAAACTTCACATTTAAGGAACTGTTGGAAATCTTTCATGTCTTTGACATCACAAAAGCTAAAATGTTAAAAGCTGATCCTAACCTAGAAAGGAATATGACATATGTGCTATGGTGAATGCTGTGAAGTATGTAAACCTGGTGACTCACAGACCTGTACACCTGGGGCTAATAATACATTATATGTTTATAAAAAATTTTAAAAAATGTAAAAAAAAAGAAAGAAAGGAATATGGCAAATTGCCAAGGAATGGATAAAATGTTCAATCTGTAGAGTAAGTTGTATCACAAAAAGGAGTTATACCATTCCTCTTGCTTCTCTTGATAAATGGGAGAAACCACTTTAATATTCAATGTTTCTAATATTTAGAATTACAACATATTAAGTAGTATTATTTTAGTTTTTTCCACTTCTCTACACATTTATAACCAATAGTAAGACATTTTTAATGTTTTGACAAAAAAAGTTTTTAAAATCACAAAACAATCAAAAAATTTTCTCTTGGATTCTGAGATCGATTTTTCAAAGTTTCAGCTTACATGGTCACCTTTATCTTGCATACTAATACAGTAAACTAGGAATGTTTGCATTTAGCTACAATTGAAAATTTGATATAGCTACTTTATTTTCACAAATATGATAACTACTAAAGGTATTAAATTTTCCAATCATTTCATTTCTTTTGAATGTCATATACTTCACTGTTTTTTTATTTAAATTCAATTAGCCAACATATAGTACATCATTAGTTTTTGATATAATATTCAATGATTCATCACTTGTGTAAAATACCCAGTGCTCATCACATCACAAGCCCTCCTTGATGTCCATCATGAATGACCCTGTCCCCATCTCTGGGCCTCTGGTTACTTTTGTAACAAGGAGGTGTTTGTTTCCAGGAGTTGAGTTGTATTTGGTGTGTGTCCCATTGTCATGTTTTTAACTTCACTGTTTTCAGCAAGTGTCAAACCTGTGACCAGAAAAAAAAAAAATAATTATGTGCTTTAGTTTGAAAAATAAACAGTTACCTCATGAATCTAATCTATTATTGCCAAAGTTTATTATTTTCTTGTCAGATTATTTTAGTTAAACAAGACCAAACTGATAAAAAAAACTATGGTGATTTCTTACACTACTGCAAGAATTTAATAGAATTCAACTGTCTATGGCCCAAAGTTACCTCTGGGTCTTTCATTGACAATTTCACCCAAGAAGCCATTGAAAAATCTGGGTATGCCCAGGGCACTTCAGATTCATGCTTGGTGTTGTAATGCAATTATTGATATTGATTCCTTTTATTCTCAAAGTGTTTAGGTTTGGACAATAAATCATATGGCTACCCTGATTCCCATTCTATTTTATATTGCACAAGATATTATCCTTGACCTTGATTTTACTTTGTCTTTGTAACTTCTGTCCATTCCTTAGGGGCTTAGGAAAGCATAGGAGTGTGTAAAGGACAGGGAAGCGTAATAGTTTCTGAATTTCTATCTTCCATGTTCTCAATCCTATGAACTCCTTCTATATAGAACAGATTTTTTTGCTGAAAAAAGTATTGCCTGAGCTTCAGGCAAAGGTTCCCAGAAATTTTTTACCTATCTTGATACATTTTGACCACATATGGAGGGTGGCTGTCAGAGAGACATCTTCAAAATTAACAAACTAGATTTCCTTTATTATTGACATTAAGCAAGTGGCAGGTTAACTCACAGGTCACAATGCAAAATTTTAAAACCCTTCCTTCTTCCCAATTTGTCTTCTTGAAAGGAGAATCCAGATCCACACAGGGGATAGGTAATGGAAAACATCTAAAGAACACCTATAAACAACAACAAAAAAATCAGTTACTGCTCCTTTGTACCACTGAGAGCTAATTCAAGTGCCACAGAATCAGATTAGTATCATCAAAATTCCATTCAATAATCCTTTCATTTCTTGTTTCCTTGTCCCCTTTCCCTCAAAAATTTTAAAATCTTTATTCTTCTCAAGCTTTCTCTTAACACCATCCCACTCTAACACTGAGCAGATGATAGGCAAAAAGAGAAGCCATCAGATGAGCTAAATCCCCATTTCTCCAGACACCACATGGCTGTACTGACAGAGGTTCTGCATTGACTGTGAATGGACTCCCATTCATTTGGGACTAGCCTTTCCAATGAGGCCCTCCACTCTTTTCCAATTTACCTATTTCTAATCTACTCTTTAAATCTTTCCCTCTTCTTTGGGCACTGCCCTGAAGTGAGTAATAATGTCTTGAAAACCCTTCCTGGTTCTGTAAATTTTTTTCTTAAGATATCAAAGATAGCTTATCTTCCATTAACATTCAAGATGCTTAAGAGAAAATCTGGAGTTTAAACTTGATTTTATTGTTTCTTTGTCCTTTGGATTTCAAGCCATTTCTAACTATCTCCTTTGAGCACTGTCTTCATTTTTTTTTTTGTATATGTAACAGAATCATTGCAGTTTAATAATTTGCTAATTACTGATTTATTGTCTTGATTCACCTTAGATTATAAGCTTCTTTAAGATTTATAAGGTTATAGATTTTTGTTATATCCTCAGTATATACTCCATGCTGTAGACTTAAGTAAAATCTTAAGAAATATTTTTTAAAATAATAATGTTATCAGCATGTACCCCATATTACTTCATTTGTAATACTCTTGACAGGGTCATTCTTTAGTTGTCAACTGACTCTTTACTTTTAAACGTATCTTGGGCTTTGAAGATAGGCAAACTAGGCTTTGAGTCTTTGGTCTGCTACTTATTCATGTGACCTTAAGAAATTTACTTATCCTCTATGAACTTCAGTTTCCTAACCTGAAATTTAGATATAATGGAACTGATACTGCAGATTGTTTTGTGCCTAAATAAAGCATCTTTTTCGGTTTCTGACTTAGAGCAGACATGTAATGAATAGCATTTGTCATTACTTGTATGTACTGTTTAGCCTCTTGGAGGTGTTTTCACTGTTAATTACATCATTCTTTTTTTTTTTTAATATTTTATTTATTTATTTAACAGAGAAAGACACAGCAAGAGAGGGAACACAAGTAGGGGGAGTAGAAGAGGGAGGAGCAGGCTTCCTACCAAGCAGGGAGCCCAATGTGGGGCTCAGTCCCAGGACCCTGGGATCATGATCTGAGCTGAAGGCAGATGCTTAACGACTGAGCCGTCCAGGCACCTCAAATTACATTATTCTTGAAACACTTCTCTCCATTAGCTCCCTGGTATCACACCTTCTTCGTTCCCCTTCCTTCTTTAATCACTTATTCTTAAACACTTGTGATACCTCTCCTAATTTCCTGCCCCATTTATAGTGTGGATATTTAGGATTCTATCCTTTGGCTTCTTCTTTTCTTAATCTACCAATTTATTTTGGATTTTATCACCTAATCTATAGATTTTATTTTTATCGATCAAAACTTACCAGGCTTAAATTCACCTTGTACATAGTATTAGTACATAGTAATCATTAGTAAATATTTGATAATGACTGTTTAATAAAAGTATGGGTGGGCAATTTTTTAAAATCTTCAATACAGTCATCTCCCATTCAACTGCAACCCCAAAAGCATTTTATGTCCATGTCATTCTCACAAGCACCATAAATTTGACCTGTTAAAATTTACACTCAATATCAGTCTCAAACACAAAAATACCATATATATGACTGATTGTTTTTCCTTGTGAAAAATTTCAAGACAAAAACTTAAAATTCTCATAGTCTGCTTTTTCCTTCATACTTCACTTCCAATTAGGTTGTGGCATGAAACAACTTTATTTTTTCTTAATTCCTTAACTGTTAACTGTTTCTCTTGATTCAGATGTCTCTTTTCTTAAAAATGTAAATTAGCAAAATAATACACTAAAATAATGAAAAATCTCTTCTATGACATTCTAAGTATGCTCTTTGCCTACAGAAAAGAAAAACAATTTTTAAAAAATCAAGATATTGAAGAATACTGGTACTTCAGCCAAACTTAAGGTGTTTCCAGTATCATAAGTGGATATACAATAATGGGCAAGACATGTTTTCTACCTTCAGGGAGTTAAAACTCTAACAGAACAGATGCACTCATAGCTGTTAACTAAAAATGTAATGCTGTGGGGAATATGAAAGAGAAAGATATTAATTGAGCTTGTTTAGAAGCAAAATTTTAAAGAAGCAATGAGGCTGAAACTTGAGAAGTGAATTGGATTAGTTGAGTTCAAAAGGGACAGAATAACTCAGGTAACAAAACTATAAAGGGAAAAAAATCACAGAGACATGAACCACATTCAAGAAATGTTGATGATAAAATCTGGTTGGTTGGAGCATGCTATATATATATTAAACAAGCATACTGTGCTGGATTGTAAGGGTTTTAGCATTCTACATTTGGAAATTTGTTTTTTTTTTCTACACTCAAATATTAAGAAAAACAACAACAAAATAATCATGAGCATTGCAGTAAGTTTACCTGATTTGTTTCTTTGTATTTTAACTAATAACATTAATTAGGGTAGTGATGTGTGACGATAAGAAGTCATATGCAGGATTGTGCCACATACATTATGACTGAGAGTATAATTTTTCATCACAGGACAACTCTAAGGGAGAAGAGAATCCCATGATTTAATTTGTATCAATGGCCAATTAAAATATGCCTCACACCTGGAATAAATCGTTGCTCTCTCCTTTCTGATTCTACAAGAACCAGAACACACAGGGAATAAGAAATCCCGAGGAAATAAAGTTCCATAACTTATGTTTTGTGACAGGTCTCATGGACTGATCAGTGTAATAATTGTATATACTTGGCATTTGAACCTGTGATAGTGGAATTCCCCAATAACTGCTCAAAAGGTAAAGGGCTTGGAGACCATTTATTAGGAATAGCCAAGGACTAAGGTTGTTATCCAAATTCTCCTGACCTATATCTTAACAATACCAAAAACTTTCTGTAGATCATAACACAGACCTGGGTATTATTGCAATTTTTCTTACTGTCCATATTCATCTGGGCATGATCTTGGCTTCCATTTCCATACCACATCCATGATTCCAAACATGATTGGAATTGAACATCTGAAAAACACATGAGGAAAGTTTATAAAGATATGATTCTGATACACACATAAGCATAATATGTATGTACAGATATACTATGAATTAGCAAATGTATCAGAATTTACAACCCTTTGCATTGCCTATTGAAATGATTAACCAAAGTTACATATTGAGTGAGATGATTGCTTATGAGAGAAGGAAGAGAATGGGATCTGAAATGGTATGGGATTTGGATCTAGAATAATCTGAAGAAAGAAGGGAAATCATAGAGAGGAAGAGAAGTGATGAAGGGCTTACTAAAAGCACTCAAAGAAAACTACAACGTTTGGATTGCTACAGCAAGACTGTAATCCATCTCTAGTCTGTATGTATATATATATTTTTTTTACGGAAACATTAGCACCACCCTGTTTCCAGTGATTTGATTTTTCTATCAGACTCGGCTTTAAGTGGTCTAATTTTTTTTTGTAGGGAAAAAGTCAAACCCTCCCCATTATCTAGGGAACACTAGTGACACTCCAATCTTGTCTACTAGTTTGTTCAGGTGTCTGTCAGCCATTCATTTTGAATACCTTGAAATTTCTGAACACCCCATGCTACCCCTCACCAATTTTATTACAATATGCTTCCAGTCCCAGCATTGAATATTATACCCCTACCCAATCTCAACTCTTTCTTTCAACTATTGTTTCTTGAATTACATATTTATGTTTATGAGCACTCATTACACTGAATTGTAATTTTCTGTTTACTTGTCTGCTTCTTCTATCATACCTTGAGTTACTTAAGGCAAGGGATAGTTATTATTGTTATGCATAAGACTTAATATTCTTGAAGGTCTCCCAAGTGTTGACACATAGTGTGAAGTGACTTTCTTTCTTTCTTTCTTTCTTTCTACTTTTCTTTCTTTCTTTCTTTTCTCTCTCTCCTCCTAACTCTTTCTTTCTTATTAAAGAAGATAAGAAAGGAAAAAGTGAAGAAAAGAGGGAAGAAAAATGACTAAGAAGCTATAGGATTTTGGGGAGGGGAAAGGACATGGTTCTTCTCCGAAGAAATTGGATGAACTCTCTGGCAAAGCCTAGGTTTCCACTGTGATTGTTGTGATTATCATTTATATCCAGTCTCATTTGAAAAGGAAAGTTGCATGTTCATACACTCCATCTTGGTCTTCCACCCTTAAACTATCCAGACAGATTTGTCACTTTCAAAGAAATCTAATGAAAAAAACTATCTCTTTGAATAACAATGGAACCAACCCACAACATCTATTCTTTTAGTAAGGATCATAGTGTATATAAGAGCACCCTTGCATGAAAGAGAATTTTTAAGAAAAATATTTTAAAAAGAATAAGAAGAAAGAGATAGAAAGGAAAGGAAAAAACTCCCCCTTCATCCTCAAAAATGAATTTAGGAAAGAGGAGAGTGATATTTTAAAATACCCTTCTAATTACTATACTTATAGGACTCTAAAAGATATTATATATATAAGGTAAGAACAGGATGCTACAAAAACTCTCAAGAATCATGTAAGGTTTTATCAGATTAAAAATATGATTGTTGAAATAATAATCAGTAGGAAAATTCTAAAAGGAATCTTTAAAAAAAAAGAAAATACAAAGAAAAGAGACAATCTGCAAATTTTAACATTTGAAGGGAAGTCATGGAAAGAACAGGAAATAGAACTCAGAAGTAATAGAGTGTATTTTCCCTAAATTTGAAAGACATAAACTTTCAGACTGGCAAGGCTACAGAGTGCACAGCAATTAAAAAGCACTTATACCCAGAATATCCTAATATTTCAGCTCCCACAAATGACTAAAATATCTTAAAAGCTGAAGTCCAGTGTCCTGGGTGCCTCAGTTCATTAAATGTCTGCCTTCTGCTCAGGTCATCATCCCAGGGTCCTGGGATGGAGCCCCTTGTTGGGCTTCCTGCTTAGTGGGGATTCTACTTTTCCCTCTCCCTCTGCCCCTCCCCACCTCCTCTGTGCTCTCTCTTTTCTCTCTCTCTCGAACAAATAAAAAACATATATTTTTAAAAGATTTTATTTATTTATTTGACAGGCAGAGATCACAAGTAGGCAGAGGGGCAGGCAAAGAGAGAGGGGGAAGCAGGCTCTTTGCTCAGCAGAGAGCCCGATGTGAGGCTCGATGACCCAGGATCATGGCCTGAGCTGAAGACAGAGGCTTTAACCCACTGAGCCATCCAGGCGCTCCAATAAAAAAAAATCTTAAAAAAAAAAAAAAAAAAGCTAAAGTCAGATCATTTTTATGGGATGAAATCACCCTGGAAACAGACTTCTTAACAACATTGTTTGCTAGAAACAGTGAGAGAACTCTCAATAGTTGCTAAGAAATTAATTTTTAACCTTTGAATTTATACCTAGCCAAAATAAAGACCTTTTCAGACATGCAAGAAGACAGAACATTTATCTCCCACATACTTAGCAAAACTCCATTATAGATGAACTTCATTAAAATGAGAGTGTAAAATGTGAGTGTAAAAGAGGAAAGAAAGAAGAAATTAAAAAACAAACTGATGTAAGGTGGTATCTCAATGTGGTTTTGATTTGAATCTCCTTAATGGCTAATGATGATGAACAACAAGTGTTGGAGAGGATGTGGAGAAAGGAAAACACTCTTACACTGTTGGTGGGAATGCAAGTTGGTGTAGCCACTTTGGAAAACAGTGTGGAGATTCCTTAGGAAATTAAAAATAGAGAGAACTACGCTATGACCCTGCAATTGCACCACTGGGTATTTACCCCAAAGATACAGATGGAGTGAAAAGAAGGGCCATATGCACCCCAATGTTCACAGCAGCAATGGCCACAGTTGTCAAACTGTGGAAAGAACCAAGATGCCCTTCAGTGGTCGAATGGATAAAGAAGATAAGGTCCATACATACAATGGAGTATAATGCTTCCATCAGAAAGGATGAATACCCAACTTTTGTATCAGCATGGAAGGGGACTGGAAGAGATTATGCTGAGTGAAATAAGTCAGAGAGAGTCAATTATCATATGCTTTCACTTACTTGTGGAGAATAAGGAATAATACGGAAGACATTGGAGATGGAGAGGAGAAGTGGGTTGGGGGAAATCGGAGGGGGAGACAAACCATGAGAGACTGTGGACTGAGAAACAAACTGAGGGTTTTGGAGGGGAGGGGAGTGGGGGGTTGAGTGAGCCTGGTGATGGGTATCATGGAGGGCACGTATTACATGGAGCACTGGGTGTGGTGCGTAAACAATGAATTTTGGACTACTGGAAAAAAAAAAAACTGAATCTAACCGAGGAAAGAGGAAAAAAGAGAGAGAGATTAGTTTGATAAAATAATATTAAAACATAACATAAAGAAACTCAGTCAAAAAAGAAAAAAGTGCTTTTTTAATACAAGAATTTGTAAATTATTACTGTATTTCCATGTTTTCTTTATTTCAGATATATTTCAAGATTTCAAACCCAGTAAAATGTCTAGGAAAAAATGGAGAACCTGGTCAGGGATGAGACTAGATGAAATAAGAGACCATTTCTCTCACCTTTTTCCTTCTTCATTAACTCTTCACAGTATTCTGAGGTAAAGTTTTTCAGCTCTTTTAATGTGTTTTGTGTCATATTTTCAAAACTGATAAGCTCATTTGAGATATTATTATACATATTCTTGCATAGCATTAAATTTTCTTCCAACTGTTGTATTTTGCTTTGTTCAATATCATTTGTTGTTCTGTTGTTGAAAATGAGTTTCCAATAATCTATAATTGATATCAGGAGATTAATGACTTTAAAATAGTCAAAGTTTTCCAATAAATTATATTATCACAATTATTACTTAATAATTTAATGGAATACTCATATTAAAATGAAACTTACATATGTAAAAAATACTAACTGTATGTACTTCTAAGATTGAAATTTATTTGAAATAAAAAGATATGTTACACAATAGAGAACTAGTTCCTTGTTGAAGAAAATGCCCCAACATGTTTAAAAATTAAAAAAAAGAACAAGAAACATCCATGTGAAGCAGGGATCTCAAAATAAAAGATGATGCAGTTCAGTAGTTAGCTTATAGAAAATTCACACCTGTGAAGTTAGGAGGTACTATAACATACTGGTGAGCCTATGTGTTGTAATTTTTGAGTTTCTTGGACAGATATAACCATAATTTAAGGATGTGCAATTGGTAAATGGCAACCTCAGGATTTAAAAAAAAAACAAACAAACAAAAAAAAAAAACAGAACATGGGGATCATGTCTCTAAGAGCATCAGGAGACTCAGAAAACTTCATAACTGCTTTATTTTGTGGATTGTTAAAACATATTTTGGTTTTTTTAAATAGGCTGATGTTAGTTTACCTGAGAACCCTGCAACTTAATAGAATATTTAATTTTTAATTTAAGTTTTATGAGGATTAAATTAGATAAAATCACAAAGGATGGGTACTCAAGAAAAGTTAACAATTATAATATTCCTTCTATTTCCTCAGAATGGCTTTGTACTCACTGTTGTAGGAGGGAAGAGAAGGGGGAAGAGAATCACCCACTAGCATCCAGGGTTGAGAAGAGATGCTCCCAAAATATGGAGTTCTTAAAAGAGTCTTTTAATTATCAAATAAGTAACTGATATTTAAAGAAAAAAAATCATTATAGGGCCTGGGAAATGCAGTAGAAGAATAGAAGACACAACCAATGTAGCAAAGCAGAGAAACATAAAGACAAGGCAAAGGGCCATTAAAACCATAAAGTATAAATGGAATACTATGCAGCCATCAAAAGAAATGAAATCTTGCCATTTGTAATGACGTGGATGGAACTAGAGGGTATTATGCTGAGCGAAATGGGTCAATCAGAGAAAGACAATTGTCATATGATCTCCCTGATATGAGGAATTTGAGAGGCAGGGTGGGGGCTTGGAGGGTAGGGAAGGAAAAAATGAGACAAGATGGGATTGAGAGGGAGACAAACCATAAGAAGCTCTTAATCTCATAAAACAAACTGAGGGTTGCTGGGGGGTGTGGAGGAAGGGAAAGTGTGGTTGGGTTATGGACATTGGGGAGGAAATGTGTAAGCCTGATGATTCATGGACCTGTACCCCTGGGACAAATAATACATTATATGTTAATAAAAATAATTAATTAAAAAATAAAATAAAAACCGTAAAGTATAAAATGAAATGATAGATGTATAATCAAATACTCCCCCTGATCACTTACAGACCATACGGAATTGGAGAAGTATTCTGGGTTCTCTGACCTGGAAATTGAGTGTAAACATGATTATAGGACATGATTTGGGTAAAGACTGAATGAGATCATGACCCTATGTGTTGCAATTTGAGTTTCTTGGACAGATATAACCATAATTTATATGTGAAGAGCTTGGGGAAACATTAGTACTCAAAAATGATAAGTAATATAATGTTATAAGAGTATTTAAATTATTAAATAAAATATTGATATAAATGATATCTACTCTATGACTCCAGAGATATTAATGCTGTTTTTATATTTTAATAGCCTTTAACTCCTGTTGACAGATACCAATTGCTTTTAGTTTCTTCTCTTTCTCTGTATTTTGAAGTTTTGGCAATTTATATGCATTATATCTTTATTGAGAAAATATATTTTTAAGCACTTGTGATTCCCTTTTTTCTTATTTGTGGAACAAACTGCTAATAAGGGTGGATTGGGATATTTAAAGACTTTGATATTCAAAAAGCTTTGATATTCAAAAGCTTTGATATTCAAAAGCCTACTCATTTCTTTTTATTCACCTATTTGTTCCTGAATTCACTCATTTATTCATTTAATACATTCATTCAGTCAAAGAATACCAAGGATGAATAAGCCATAGTCTGTGCTCTTATGAAGCCTGTGTTATATTGGAGGAAAAAACCCTGCCCACCAATTATTGTGCTATTGTCAAGAACAGTTATAGAAGTTTTAGGAAAAAAATAATCATCTGGGAGAAATTATCTTTCAAAAGATAGCACCATGAAACCAGCTCATACTCACCTGAAATTGGTGTGATTCCTAGGACAAAATAACTAGCTATTAATGGAGGAATTAGAGAAAACATCAAGTATGATAATGCCATTTTGAAGTATGTTTGCAATTAGAATGAATTAGACAAGAAGAAAATGCATGAAGAATGGAGAATTTGCTTTAGACATATGAAATCATCATGCAAACTCTCAGTCTATAATTAATTGTATTTTTGTTGTATTGATTTCATAATTTCTAGAAAAATGGGTTTACATTACAATCTTTAGCCTTAGTTGTCACTGAAGGAATTTGTCATTAAAATATCCTTAAGACAATGATGAATATGATATGGTCCTAAGTAATGACACATATTTTCTCCTCTATTAATCTGGAAATATTATATGGATATGTCTTGGGACTTGGACTTATTTGCAATGTGCCTGATAAAACCAATCCACAGGCTCAGAGAAAAGTGGAAACTTACACCTCAGGCCCAGTGTCCCCAGTCCAGCCAGCACCACCAGGTTCACAGTCAACGAAATGAAAGCAACAGTGCACCACACTTTTGACTGAGTGCTACGTCCTGTGAAGAAGCACCAATTTAGAAAAATGACATGAAGCAACACGTTTTATGTTGTTTCCTTTTTCCATAACTCTGTCCAACACACCTGCCCCTTATGTATAGGACTATTGGAATGTTTTTAATAAAAATAATTGCTTGCAAAATCAAGCAAAGTCCTCATTAAATACATCTTTACATTCACAATTAACACTGAAAACACATAATTCTAAGTAAATGTGATCATAGGACATATTTTGGATACTTTCATTGACACTCTCTTGTTCATCTTTTAGCGTTGTTTTTTCCCCTCCCACCTTCCGCATCTTGCTGTTTCCTCATCCTTCCCATCTCCAGGAAATCAGTGTTGGCCACCTGATGGTTGTTCTTTCCTAATTTTTCTATGCTAATATTGAGATCTATAATTTAATATAATTTACAATCCATTCTGATGATTGTCCTTTCAGGTTTTCTCTTTAATATATTATTAGGAAATCATCTACTTCCTTTAGACTATCAAATTTATTGCCATGAAGTTACAGAGGTTGGAGCTTTACACATATTTATTCTCTCCCATTTTATTTATTTATTTATTTATTTATTTATTTATTAAATGAGTGGAAGTGGATATGAGATTTCTGGGGTGTGCTCCATTTTTTTTTTTAAGATTTTATTTATTTATTTGACAGACATCACAAGTAAACAGAGTTGCAGGCGGCAGGGGATGGGTGGGATGAGGCTCCCTGCTGAGCAAAGGGCCTGATGTGGGGCTAGATCCCAGGGTCCTGGGATCATGACCTGAGCCAAAGACAGAGGCCTTAACCTGAGCCACCCCTATTCTCCTCCCCTATTCTCTCCCATTTTAGTTACTTATTTAAACATATTCCTTTTTTAAAAAAGATTTATTTATTATTTTAGAGTAGAGAGAGAACATGGGGAAAGGGAGACAGAGAGAGAAAGAATCACAAGCAGACTCCCCACTGAGTGAGGAGCCCAACATGAGACTTGAACCTAGGACCCTGAGATCACAATCTGAGCTGAAACCAAGAGTCAGATGCTTAACCAACCGAGCCAACCATGTGTCCCTAACTTGATATCTGATACCTTTGCTTTCTCCATTTTTCCTTAATTTGGCTATTAGGTTTTTTAAAAATAAAACCAGTCTCAAATTAACTTTTCTCTTCAAAACCTTCCTATTTATTGATTTAAGCTCTTAAATTTATCAATTTTCTTAAATTCTTTTGTGATTTTATTATTTTTACATTAAGATGGGTTATTATATTCTTTCTCCTTTGATTATGAAAAATTGGGATGAAAGGTTTTTTTTTTTAAGATTTTATTTACTTATTTGACAGACAAGTAGGCAGAGAGACAGGCAGAGACAGAAAGAGGAGGAAGCAGGCTCCCCCTGAGCAGAGAGCCTGATGCGGGGCTCGATCCCAGGACCCTGGGATCATGACCTGAGCTGAAGGCAGAGGCTTTAACCCACTGATTCACCCAGGCGCCCCTGGGATGAAAGTTTTAGCTGTTTCCAAAGGGACATGTTTTCCTTTGCATTATATTCTTAATATCTGTAATTTTGGAATAGCTAAATTTAGACTCTCCAACCTAAACTTTTATAGTACTTTTATTCCCTTTCCTCCTCTCTCCTAATGCTGGGTTTTACTGTGACAGTTTAGTAAAATTTGTCCTAGACTACTATTGACTTTCTCTTGCAGTGTATCTATTTTATAGCAAAAATGATTTAGCACTTTCATTATCACAATTACCATTATATTTATTCCATCATCAGCTATTACTTTTTGACTCACCTCTAAATTTTCCCTTACGTTGAGGTCTGATTAATTCCTTGTATGTCTGGAAATTTTCTTGAGTATTTTTCTTAGATGGAGTACATGGTAAATTTTTATTTTGTTGGGATAGATGATTTATATCTTTTCTGAATTAAAGATGGGAGAATGGCAGTTTTTTCCCCCTCCATATATATCCAGTACTAGAGGATATCTAATTATTCTTTATTTATTTCCTTTTTTATATTTGTCCTTTTTCCTCTTTATGAAATCTTTTTTACATATTAGATTACTTGGATATGTTATCCAAACCTATTATGATTTTTATTACCTTTATAACTTTGAATAATTTCTTCTGTCTGATCTTCCAGAATATTCTGCCGGGTCTTAATGATCTTTGTTCTTTCTTTTAACTCATCTGCTGAAGTTATTGCTGTCAAAGTCATGTTTCAATTAAAAATTTTTTGATTCCATAATTTAATGTCTTAAAAAAATCTTATTATGCTGGTTGTTTAACTTGGTTATCTGTCCCTTTCAGGCATTCAATTTTACTGACAGTTACCTATTTTGGACTTTTGTGTATTTTCTCCTTTGGCCTCTGGATCCCCTAAAATCAATAGCTATCTTTGTTTTCCCTTAGTTTTATTTACTCTGGAGTTTGAGATCAAGATTTGGGATACTTTGAGAAGCATCACACCTATGTGTAATGGAAAGCACAGTTGTTTCTTCCACTATATGTCAATGGCATGCCAGGTGACAAGCTGTTAATTAATTCTATGTTCCATAAAAAGGGACAAACTTGGTCCAGTGTCTTCTTGGATACAAAGTCTAGTACTTTCTCTGATTTAGAATTACAGAAGACCTTTTTTGCCTGTCTGTTCAGTTTGCAAATGAATGGTCTGAGACCAGAAAGATAAGCAAGCAAGTCCTTGTAGGACCACACAAGAAGGTTGGTATAATATTTCTGCTATGGAGTTCAATAATCTCAAGAGATTAGGACCTTTCCAAGGATGAAAGAGGCTTAAATCTTCTCCTAAGCTCTTCTTATTCTTTTTTTCCCTGTGAATCTCCATGTTCTTAAGTAACACAGAGGCAAACGAGTCATCACCTCTTCCCTTCATTGGAACCCCATAAGAGTTTTGTTATAGACATACTTCCTATGTCTTTCCTATTTCTTCTAGTTTCTTTTAGGAGAGGCACTTACTGGTAGGAAATGGGAAGGAAGGGCAGAATAAAATTGCATTTGGGCTGACTGAAATGTTGATTAAAAATCAGTCTGGAGGGGCACCTGGGTGGCTCAGTGGGTTAAAGCCTCTGCCTTCAGCTCAGGTCATGATCCCAGGGTACTGGGATCGAGCCCCGCATCAGGCTCTCTGCTCAGTGGGGAGCCTGCTTCCTCCTCTCTCTCTCTGCCTGCCTCTCTGCCTGCTTGTGATCTCTCTCTGTCAAATAAATAAACAAAATCTTAAAAAAAAAATCAGTCTGGAATTAATCTTAGAGATATAGCTCATTCCTTTACCTTCTTTCTCCCTAAAAATTCTGATAAGATAAAAATAGGGAATAAAAAATGCATAGATTCAAAATAATGAGAAAGGAAACTACATAAATGGCATTTGGAAGGTAGTGAACAAAAGTTGCTAGTAACTTTGTGGGCCTTGGAAAAGTGAACCAAAGTCAAAATTCTCATTTAAAGATCCCAAAAGTTGCATTTTGGTGGCTCAGTTAGTTAAGCATTTACCTTCAGCTCAGGTCATGATCTCAGGGTCCTGGGATCAAGTCCTGCATTGGGCTCTTGCTCAGTGTTGAGTCTGTTTCTCCCTCTCCCTCTTCCCCTCCTTGCACACTCTCTCTCTTGCACTTGCTCACTCTGTCTCTTGAATAAATAAATAAAATCCTTTTTTTAATGTTTCACTCATTTCATTTGTTTTTTATTATGCTCAGTTAACCAACACAAATATTCTGTCTCTCAAATAAATAAATGAAAATTTAAAAAAAAACTCAAAAGTTCTGTAAGTTGGTGATAACCTCCTACTTTATCATCTCAAGTGGAGGTGTGGGGAAGCCTGAAAACTGAGAAAGTATCTGAAAATTTACATATGATTCAGATAGACTCTTAACCCCATATTTTCTCCCCGATTTCATACAATGAGTTACCCTCTGTGAGACAATAGGATATATATCTATACTGTATCTGTATCTATATGACTATCTATCTGCTCTGCTTCCTGTCACAGAGCTTTTAAAACCTTGATATTTTCTTAAGTGTTAAGAACACTAGGAGCATCTCTTCTTCTAATATTTGATTCTTGACCCTGCTCCTCACACAAGGATCCTAAACCCTTATACAATCCTAAGTGATAAGGAGCATCTTTCCTCTTATTATTTTTTTTAAGATTTATTTATTTATGAGAGAGAGAAAGGGAATGCACACACGAGTGGTGGGAGGGGTAGAGAGAGAGAATCTTTAAGCAGACTCCCCACTGAGGGAGGATCCTGGGAAGGGGCTTGATTCTAGGACCCTGAAATCATGACCTGAGCTGAAACCAAGAGTCTGACACTGCACCAACTGAGCCACCCAGGTGCCCCAGGAGCATCTTTTGTTCTAATGAAGTGAGTCTGAGTGGGCATGTGGATGGGCTCCTGGGTGAGAGGTGGTCACGAGAAAGACCAAGCCATGACAAGAAGCTTGGAATTTTCACACCCCCACCACCCCCACTTCTCTTGAGCAGGGAAAAAGTCTGAAAATGGAATCGTTAACTCCATCAATCTTGCCTATGTAAGGAAACCGCCATAAAAATCCCAAAAGTATGAGGTTCAGAGAGCTTCCAGGCTGTGAACATAATATCAGGAGGGTGACCCACCCCTGCTTAGGACCCTCCCAAATCTCACTTTATGTATCCTTTATCTGGCTGCTTATCTCTATCCTTTATCATATTCTTTAATAAAGTGGTAAGTGTTAAATGGTTCTCTGAGTTTTATGACCTGCTGGGGCAAATTAAGTGTACCTCAAGAAGGGATTATGGGAAACTCTGTTTTATAGCCAAATCTGAATGAAGTTGTGGGTAATCTGGGGACATACTTCTTGCAATTGTCATTTTAAATAGGGGGTGGGGCACCTGGGTGGCTCAGTAGGTTGAGGCCTCCTTTGGCTCGGGTCCATAATCCAGGGGTCCTAGGATTGAGCCCCCTGGCAGGCTCTCTGCTCAGCGGGGAGCCTGCTACCCCCTCCCCCAGCCTGCCTCTCTGTTTACTTGTGATCTCTGTCTGTCAAATAAATAAAATAAATTATTTAAAAAAAATAAGTAGGGTGGGAGCAGTCTTTTGAGACTGAGACTTTACCCTGTAGATCTTGACACTATCTCCAGGTAGATAGTAATAGAACTGAGCTGAATTGTAGGACATGGCAGCTGCTGTCACAGAGAAGTGCTTGATGTGGGAAAAATGTCCATGCATTTGATGACAGAAGTATCAAAATTGAACTGTTCTGTGTGAATAGTAAAGGAGAAATCGCAGGGAAAAAACTCACAGTAGAGAAGAAATTTCTTTCTTTTTTCTTTTTTTTCTTTTTTCCCACAACAGGTGGAAACTGAGGCTTCCCTTAATACCCTCTCATAGTCATTCTGAGAGAAAACTGTCTGGGACAGAGTATTGGAGGAATCCTCTCCAGAGCAACTAACTGACCTAAGAGGGGAAATTCAAACAAACAAACACATACAAATATTGACAATTGGGTTTCTCAGAGAATCACCCAAGTACATGAAGGCTACACATATACCCTCATATAAAAATGAGATCCCTCTCAATTAATTTGGCATCACACTCTTTTTAAAAAAAATATTTTATTTATTTATTTGACAGAGAGAGAGAGAGAGAGCACAAGTAGGGGAGTGGAAGAGGGAAAAACAGACTCCCTGCTGAACAGGGACCCCAATATGGGGCTCGATCCCTGGACCCTGAGATCATAACCTGAGCCGAAGGCAGATGTTTAACCGACTAAGCCACCCAGGTGCCTTTGGCATCTCACTCTTAAATGATTACAGGCAACCAAATATCACCAGATATTCGAAGAAAGCTGCCAACATGAAAGACTGAGGGAAAAAAAAAAAAAACCGAGAAAAAAAAAAAAAAGACAAAATGAAAGCAGAGATAACACAGTGAGAACACTTAAAAAGTTCTGTAAATAAACTAAGATCTTTTACATTTCTACTGGAAATGTAAAAATGGAAAATAATTTTCACAGTTTCTTGTAAAGTAAATATACCCATCTAACCCAGAATTCTACTCCTATGTATTTACCTGATAAGATTTTTTTTTTTTTTTTAAATTTTAGGGACGCCTGGGTGGCTCAATGGGTTAAGCTTCTGCCTTTGGCTTAGGTTATGATCTCAGGGTCCTACGATCAAGACCCAAATTGGGCTTTCTGCCTAGCAGGGAACCTGCTTCCCCCCTCTCTCTCTGCCTGTCTCTACCTCCTTGCAATCTCTCTCTCTATGTCAAATAAATAAATAAAATCTTTAAAACAAAAAAAAAAACAAGATTTTTTTTATTTTAAAGTAGGTTCCACACAACCCTGAAACCAAAACCTGAGCTCAGATAAGGAGTTGGACATTCAACAAACTGAGCCATCCAGGCACCATTGACTATTTACACTAGTCCCAATCTGGAAGCCACTGAAATGTCCATCTACAAATGAATGGGTAAACATTTTGTGTATTCATACTATGGAATACTATTCAGCAATGAAAAGGAATTAACTATTGAAAACATACAATATGAATTAATCTTAATAACATTATGCTTAATGAAAGAAGCCAGTCATAGAAGACTGCATGTTATTTGAATCCATTTATATAAGATCTGAGAGCAGACAGAATAATGTAGGGTGACAGAAAGTAGATCAGTGATTATCTCAGTCTAAAATTGGTGGTGCGGATAACTTAGAGGGGAAATTTTTTTGTATTTTGTTTTTACTTTTTGGGAACACTGATTAAGAAATTTTATTATAGGGGCGCCTGGGTGGCTCAGTGGGTTAAAGCCGCTGCCTTCGGCTCAGGTCATGATCTCAGGGTACTGGGATCGAGCCCCGCATCGGGCTCTCTGCTCAGCGGGGAGCCTGCTTCCTCCTCTCTCTCTGCCTGCCTCTCTGCCTACTTGTGATCTCTGTCTGTCAAATAAATAAATAAAATCTTTTTTTTTTTTTATTTTTTTTTTAAAGATTTTATTTATTTATTTGACAAAGAGAAATAACAAGTAGGCAGAGAGGCAGGCAGAGAGAGAGGAGGAAGCAGGCTCCCTGCTGAGCAGAAAGCCCGATGTGGGGCTTGAACCCAGGACCTGGGATCATGACCTGAGCCGAAGGCAGCGGCTTAACCCACTGAGCCACCCAGGCGCCCAATAAATAAAATCTTTAAAAAAAAAAAAGAAATTTTATTATAGAAAATGAATGCATCCAATATCCCCAAATACATTTGTAACAACAGACACACAGGAAACATGATAATATTTGCTACATCATAGCCTTATTCTTTCCAAAGGATAAAACATTATGCAAAAACAGGGAGTGAAGGTTGAAAGAGAGAGGTGGTTAGAGAAAGCAGGTACTGTCCTTTTGATTAAAAGACACAAAATACTTTTTGGGGTGACAAAAATATTGTGTATCTTGATTTTGGTTACAGAGGTTTATATTTGTTAAGTACAATAAACTATACACTTAAGGTTAAGGGTGTATTCTTTTGTATTTAAATTGTACTTCAATAAAGTTGACTTGAAATGAAATTTTTCAAAAGTAAGATACAATTTTGTATCTATGTCTGAAACTGGAATGTTATATTAGAAGACTCGAGGGAAAAAAAAAGAGTTCATTGAAAATGAAATGATACAAGGAACATGTTTGTACTACGTAAATTAAAATATACTTTTAAAAAATCATCCATGAGGGTAACTGGGTGGCTTAGTTGGTTAAGCGTCCGCCTTTGGCTCAGGTCATAATCCCAGCGTCCTGGGATTGAGTCCCACATTGCAGGGTTGTAAGGAGGGAAGGTCCCTGCTCACTGGGGAGCTGTTTCTCCCTCTACCTTTTCTCCCTGCTCATAATCTCTCTCTCTCTCTCTCTGACAAATAAAGAATATTAAAAAAAAAAAGAAAAGAAAAGAAAACCATCCATGAAATTTAACAGAGGGATGAAATGATGAAAAATGGGAGGAAATACGGAGCCCCTACGTGATACAGACGATTAAGCAACCTACTCTTCATTTTGCCTCAGGTAGTAATCTGAGGGGCCTGAAATAAAGGCCCGTACTGGGCTCCATTTTCAGCATGGAGTCTGCTGATGTTTCTCTCTCCCTCTCCCTCTGCCCCACATTTCTCTCTCTCTCTCTCTTTCCAAAATAGATAAATATTTAATAAAGAAAAGGAAAGTGGAAGGAAATAATATTGTAAAATAGGAAAAATCTAGAAAAAGACAAAAACACTGGGGATGGATGAAGAAAATAAAAAGAAGGTGTTTTCCCATAAGTAAAGGATATGACTTTTCATCACCTTTTGTTTATCCTCCTTATTTCCCTTCTCAAAAGTTTTCCATCTCCATCTTTAAAAATAATCTCTAATTGTTATGTTCTGGTGTCTCCCAAATGCTCTTCTTAACTTTCTCCAGTGGCTACATTTATTCACATAGGGCTTACCTGCCACAGCTCTGCTCTCTGCCATCTCAGGTATGCTCTCAACTCCCCCTGCTCTATTTTCAGTTTCACCATCCACTTCCATTTCAGGAACTTCATGATTGTCTTAAAAAAAAAAGTGTCTTTAAAAAAAGGTCAGTTTTCTCTATTCTTTACTTTCTATCTAGATAATACCAGTGTTCCTGGTCTGATGCTGATTCTGATGGTAGATATTTTAAATAGACAAACCCTGGGGCACGTGGGTGGGTTAGTTGGTTAAGTGTTGGACTCTTGATTTCAACTGAGGTCATGATCTCAGGATGGTGAGATCAGTCACCCTGTGGGGCTCTTTGCTGGGCACAGAGTTTACTTAAGATTCTCTCTCTCCTTTTCCCCTCCACCTCCATGCTCACATGCTTTCTCTCTCTCCCTCCCTCTCTCATAAGTTAATTAATTAATTAATTAATTGACAAACACTGAGTGATCTTTTACTAAAATAAAATTCAAACAACCTACCCTGCTGTATAAAAAAGATTAAATTGTCTTATAAGGAAACATGTATTGGAGAATATATAACAGAATGTAAATTGGATCTCCCAGTTTATAAGCACTCTAAGTCAGTTGCCCATGGATGGCAAGTATGTAATACTTCTCCCCAGTACATACAATGCCTTTGTCAATATTGTAGACACAAAGAAGAGGACCCTATTTAGGGGAACTGGTCCCTAAAACATTATCCACTAACCTGATGCCTCAAATTATGTAACCAGAGACATGTTACTAGAAGTGATTTTTCTTCCTCATTTGAATATAAAATACTTTGGGGTAAATTTATAAAGTAAAAATTCCATATGTTGGGGCACCTGGGTGGCTCAGTGGGGTAAGCCTCTGCCTTCAGCTCAGGTCATGATCTCAGGGTCCTGGGATCGAGCCCCACATCAGGCTCTCTGCTCAGTGGGGAGCCCGCTTCCGCCTCTCTCTCTGCCTGCCTCTCTGCCTACTTGTGATCTCTGTCTGTCAAATACATAAATAAAATCTTTAAAAAAAATTCCATATGTATGTGTACATTCCATATGTATTGTATGTATTCCATACATACACATACATACATATGTGTGTACATATATATGTACACATACGTACATATATATAGATAGATGATATAATTTTATAGTAAGATCAAAAAGACTGAAAACAAATACAAAGGAATAAAAATAATATAAATAATAAAATATAAATAACAAAACATAATCCCAGGGATGGCACAAGAAACCATGTATCCTATAGCAATACAAAAATTTCAATAAATACAATTTTGATGTTCCCCCAAATCATCTTCTTACTGTTTCACTGTTACTTCTAACTTTCTAGGAATTGAATTCCTGGATAAAACAGACTGGAATTATATGGCCTGGAATGATATTATATAGAGATAAGACACCTTCAGTCTTGCTCCTTCACAGAAAGAAGCAAATGTTTAGCACACCATGACTGACTAGGATCCCAGGTTCCTTTAAATCTCATAGCATATGTCTATATTATATCTTTCAGCAGTTAAATAAAAATCCTAGATATTTATGTTCATACCATTACTGTTTTTACTTCCCATAATAGCTTGTATGTGAGATCATCCGAAATGTCTAAAAAACATAAGAAATGTTATTTTCGTGACACCAGAGATCTGGATTTCCAGAGGTTTAAACCACCATGTTTGTTTTGTTTTGTTTTCCACAAACTATGATTTTACAAGCTAAATAAGACAGACAACACTAAGCTCTGGCATAGCAACTTCCCTATGGACTGGCACTCTGTCATCAAAATCATCAGCCTTGAGTTGAGGGCGAGGAGAACTCACCAGTGTAGTTAAATAGCTCTCTTTTCTGGTATGTCTGATCCTACATGGAGGCTCTTACCTGCTCTCTTGAGACTGTAGCTCTCCTGGGATGTCTTCACCTGGGAAGCATTTGGAAATTTGAGAGTAGCATAAGTCACTTCTTCAGGCATACTGAAAAAATACAGCACTGTTGGTCACTGGGTGTGGTGCATGTCTCACCGAACTTCACAGAAGCTGCTCCTGTGGCATGATCTATGCATGTGGTGACTAAGTTCAATGATCTACCTTTGTAAAAACCAAGCAAAAATATAGTGTCAGAAAACAGAACTGATCCACTGAGAATTTCAGAATTGCTTTATTCACACCTCCACACACATCTTTTCTTAACTTCCTCCAGTAAACACCAGGTTGAAGAAATGGTCCTGAAAGAAAAATGTGGGTTTTAAATATAAACATTCTTTTTTTTTTTTTAATTTTTTTTTATGGAAAATAGCAGTGACCTCCCGACTTAAGAAGGCTCTGTGGAAAAAATACAAATAAAAGTATCACCATTTCTGCATACATAAAGTTGTTAATCAGCATGTGCCTGTGAGAACAGTGTTGTAATCGAAAACACTTCTCACTACTAACTCCCAGAAAACCACAACTGAGTTAGTTCTCACCAAAATATTGTTCCCTTTCTTTTTCCTTCCTATTTTTGTGGGTTGAAAAAAGTCTTTAGAAGTTAAAAGAAGAATACTGGCGCACCTGGGTGGCACAGTCAGGATCATGAGATCAAGCCCAGTATCTGGCTCCCTGCTCAGCTGCTGTATGTTGGGGGTGGGATGTCTGCTTGGGATTCTCTCCCCCGCTCCTCCCCCCACTCTCTGTCTTTCTAAGATAGATAAATAAATTTTTTAAAAAAGGAAAAATATTAATAGAGCAATACAAAACCGAAGAGTGATAGTCGGAGAAAGAGCAGGAAAAGCTACATTTGAGCTACATTAAATAGAGATTTTTCCCCCTCCTCACCCCTACCCTCCACACAGAACAGCCCCTGAAAAGAAGGGAGATGTATTTTAGAAGTGGAAGTTCTTTATTTAGAGTATATCTGTCAGGTTAGGATCTGAATTCTAAGAACTTGAATTTGGGAGGAACGTAGGGTGTATGTATGCATTAATCTGTTCTACAGACTGAGGAGTTATAAAGTTCAGGGAGCTCAAGTGCCTTGGTCATAGTCCAGCAAAGATTAGTCCATAGAGAACATACTCTGCATCCTGAATATCTAGCATAGTGGCAAATGTGTACCACATATTTAGTTAGTATCTTTAAATGCGTAAGTTACTAACTCATTCAGAAATAATCATAGTATTGCTCAGTGAAAAGCACCTGTTAAATACTATTATTAATAAGAACACCTTTATTGACATTTAAGAACGACTGGGACATTGTGCAGTAGGCACAGAGTCTAGAAAAAAATGGGGTTAAATCACAATATTACAAAGGTAAAAATCAAGAATATTTAATGTGGTATTGAAAAAGACAGTATACATATTTTTTTAGGAAAACCATGTTCTGATACGTAAACCTTGAAGAGATGAGAAAGACTAAAGACTTCCACCATGAAGCTTAGAATTTTCACTGATTTTAATTGCTCTGGAGTAACAGATATTTCTCCTATCCTCATAAACGTGCTTTTATTAGTAAGGAACTCCCTGGTGGGGGGTGGGGGGCAGAATCATTCACTCTTCTAATCTTCCTTCTGAAACCTTAAGTAGTAATGTATCTCCTAAATCTTCAAGGCTCAGATTTCTTCTCACATGTTCTTATTTTCACCCCACCCCAGTATGATCATAATATACCTTGTCTCCATAAATATAAGTGCAGTACAATTCATTTCATAGATGGATTCTGCCTATTTGAAAAATAAAATGAATATTTTTGCTTGGAAGTTCAGGAACATTAACTTATTTATGTATTCATTTCCTTATTCAACAAATTAATCAAGGATTTACTATATACTATACATTATTCCAAAGGAAATGACAGGCACATTTTCTTCCTTAATGTAGTTTACATTCTACAATTCATATATTTGTTTGTACATATACGTTAATGTTTTATATTATTTATTCATGGATAAGTAATACAATGTAATGCATACAATGCAATGGTCCTATGCATAGGAATAAAGCAGGGAAAAGTAGGGGTGCCTGGGTGGCTCAGTGGGTTAAGCCTCTGCCTTCGGCTCGGGTTATGATCCCAGGGTCCTGGGATCGAGCCCCACATTGGGCTCTCTGCTTGGAAGTGAGCCTGTTTCCACCTCTCTCTCTCTGCCTGCCTCTCTGCCTACTTGTAATCTCTGCCTGTCAAATAAATAAATAAAAATCTTTAAAAAAAAAAAGGGCAGGGAAAAATAGGGTGGCAGAGGAAGGAGAGGAGGCTTTTATGTTAAACAGAGTAATCCTGGAAGGCCTCCGTGGAGGTGTCATTTGGCACAGAGAATAGTAACAGCAAAAATACTGTTGTACAAAAATATGCTAATTTAATGCCTTAATATTTACCATCTGTTTAGTTACTGAAATCATGAGTCAGAATAATTTTTTGAAGTGAATTATTTGCTCTTTCAATTTCAGAGTTTTCAGGATTTTTAAATTTCCCCTTTTTTTCTAGTTTCCTTGTAATATGTTCCCTCTTTTCAACTTCTGGACCACACTTGATCCCTTGTCAAATCTAAATCTAACCAAGGAAAGAAATATGTTAAATACTGTGTCCTCATCTTATTTGAAAAGAAATTAATTCAATTCTCCATCTCTGGACCCACCAGGCTAATCTCAGTAACTTGATTCACATAGACTTCTTGGATTGTTTCACTACCAGTAAGACTTTATTCTGAAACCCTGAATCAGAGCCTTTCATCAATGCTTATACCCACACTGACCAAATCACAAAGCACCAGCTAAAAAAATAATAACAATTCAGCAAACGAAGACAGAAAGCCAAAAACTGACAGATGTAGGACCTGGCTAACAATACTCAGGAGAGCAGTGACAAAATGTCCAGGATGAACATTGTAACAGCCCTTGTATAATTTTAGTCCAGAATGGAATAGAAAGACTGGAGACACAGGAAAAGACGACTCTGAGAGGAAAGGACACACCACAGAAAGAACAATATGGCAAAGAATCTAAAATCTGGAAGATATCTTATACATAATTCAAGGAAGGAAAAAAGAATTAGATAACTAAAAGACAAAAATAAATAACTTGGTAGGATAACTATGTCCAAATGTGGAACAAATGCAAGTTTGGGATGACTTGAACAATTAATGAGGCAAAATTAGAAAATTCCATTTGAACCTTATGCTGAGAATACTGAGATTTGAGTGGCGTGTCGGAGATGTAGAGAGAGATTTCTAATTATTACAATGGAATTCATCATCATCCAATCATAATAGGGTAAATAAATGCATTTTTAAAATTAAACCAATGGTTAAAATTTTAAATTTAAATTTTAAAATCAACCAATGATAAAATCATGAAATATATTATGACTATGGAACATATGCACACTTCAGTATTAGCAGTATAACAGTAAAGGATCAAATGACAGGGATTAAGAAAGGGCAAAATGAGAAGAGTGGAGGGCAAGAGAAATAGAAGGAAGAGTGATAGTACCAATCTACACCTCCTATGTGTTGGAGAAATTAGAGATACACTCTGTGTATCTCTAGATTAGAGATCTAGATTAGAGATCTAGATCTAGTGTTTTCTAGATTAGAAGTAAAGGTTTACATTAAGAGATGAGGGAAAGGAAGAGAGACAGTGCCTTTAAATCATCTATCAAAACAGGAAGGCAACAGATAATTTCTGAAGTTGATAAATCCATCTGGAGTAGCACAAACTATTTAATGATATAAAGATGATCATCATAAGAAATAAAAACAAAGAATTGAAAAAAAATTGCCTCTAAAGAGCAAGACAATCATTTGAGGAGAGATATTTTTATTGACTAATAAGCTTTTCTGAACTATTTCATTTAAATGTGTACATATATTATTCTGAAAAATGAAAATAATAATAACTGTCTTATTCGTGGTTGTTCATGTAGTATGTATTCATGGCTATTAACTAAGGTTCTCTCTCCAATTTCATAATTTGCCTTCATTCAGGCCCTGTCCCAACTGATTTCTTTACTATTGATGCTGCCCTCAATTTAAAACCCATTGATTAGTATATCATACTTTCTGCAGTGAAGTATGGACATAGATTTTAATTTTATATATGTCTTATTTCTGTATATAGGAAGCTGTACATAGTCAAATTACATTTAAATAATTAATATAGGTTTGTAAAAATACAAATGTTATTACATAATGAATAACTTTTTTTTTAATTTTATTTTTTATAAACATATAATATATTTTTATCTCCAGGGGTACAGGTCTGTGAATTGCCAGGTTTACACACTTCACAGCACTCAACATAGCACGTACCCTCCCCAATGTCCATAACCCCACCCCCCCTCTCCCAACCCCCCTCCCCCCATCAACCCTCAGTTTGTTTTGTGAGATTAAGAGTCAATTATGGTTTGTCTCCCTCCCAATCCCATCTTGTTTCATTTACTCTTCTCCTACCCCCTTAACCCCCCATGTTGCATCTCCTCTCCCTCATATCAGGGAGAGCATATGATAGTTGTCTTTCTCCAATTGACTTATTTCGCTAAGCATGATACCCTCTAGTTCCATCCACGTCATACCAAATGGCAAGATTTCATTTCTTTTGATGGCTCCATAGTATTCCATTGTGTATATATACCACATATTCTTTATCCATTCATCTGTTGATGGACATCTAGGTTCTTTCCATAGTTTGGCTATTGTAGACATTGCTGCTATAAACATTCAGGTGCACGTGCCCCTTCGGATCACTACGTTTGTATCTTTAGGGTAAATACCCAGCAGTGCAATTGCTGGGTCATAGGGTAGTTCTATTTTCAACATTTTGAGGAACTTCCATGCTGTTTTCCAGAGTGGTTGCACCAGCTTGCATTCCCACCAACAGTGTAGGAGGGTTCCCCTTTCTCCGCATCCTCGCCAGCATCTGTCATTTCCTGACTTATTAATTTTAGCCATTCTGACTGGTGTGAGGTGGTATCTCATTGTGGTTTTGATTTGTATTTCCCTGATGCCGAGTGATATGGAGCACTTTTTCAGGTGTCTGTTGGCCATCTGGATGTCTTCTTTGCAGAAATGTCTGTTCATGTCTTCTGCCCATTTCTTGATTGGATTATTTGTTCTTTGGGTGT